GCATGGGAGCGGCTGGTTGATGGGTGAGGGAGAGGCGTACTGTGTGGGAGGTGGGGGGTGGAAGGGGGATGTAACAGTACAGGTAAAAGTGCAGAGGTACCTGGGGAGTCAGATCTCCAGCAGGTTGCAGTGTGTCAGAATTCCACTGTGTATATTGAGTCCATGAGTTTGTGGGGGAGAAGACCTCATGGGGGCACACTACTGTGTTGTGCAGAGGCCCCAGCACCAGAAAGGGTGCACCCGAACATACACACAGTCCGACAAGCACCTATGCCCCGAGTTTGCCTGCCTGTGGCCAGAGATGCAGGGCCCCAGAACCCAGACTCCCCCTGCACCTATCTCCTTGACAGCTTGCAGGCTTTGTGGCCACAGTAGGCCTTAGCAGGCCTGCAGTTTTCACCCCCCTGTGCCTTAACACACACACAGTGTCATCTATGTCATGAATTTTACTTGTCAGCAGTTTGAGGTGCAGTTTCTCAGAAACCCCTGCACCTATCACCTTGAAACTTGGCAGGCTTCGTGCTCTCAGCAGAGGCTACTAGCCTTGCAAGGTTCATCCAAATCAGCCAACAAACAACAAAGTTATAGCTATTTCATTGATTCCTCATTATACCCTATGGCCAAATCGCCGAATCTTTTCCGAACCTTTTCCGAATCAATTCGGAAGCTCCGAATCAATTCGCAAAGCCTAAAAGTTCTAGCAATTCAATTTGGATTCATAGATTTGGCCTCCGAATTGTCCGAATCATCTCTGAATCTGAATTGCAATCTGAAGCTTTTAACAGCCCTAGTCAACCACTGTTCACTGTTCTTGATGTAGTACCCTGATGTAGCGGTAAACCACTATCAATTTACCTCTCAGCCTTTTTTTCTATATGCTGAAGAGGCCCAAGTCCCTGAGGCTCTCCTCTTATGGCTTGTCTTGCAAGTCCCTCATCATATGGGTGGCTCTTCTCTAGACCCTCTCTAGTTTTTCCACGTCCCTGTTGAAGTGCAGTGCCCATAACTGGACTTTTGTTCTTTGTTTGTCTTTGACTTCTGACAGACTTAATGGTGGTGAGATCCATTACCAAAGTAATTTTGACTAGTCCTTCAGAGTATATTTAAGTCAGAATCGCTTAGAAAATTAAGGATGTCAGATAAAGGCCAAAAATAAAGTTACTGTTGGAAAAAATTCACCTTGCTCAGAGATTAACACAAAAGGCAGAACCTAGGTTCACTTTATGTGCCTTGAATGGCAATTCCATCCATAAACCTGCCATTTGGGCATTTATATACAGTTTTTAATCCTGCTCCACAGGCAGTGTGGACACACAATATGTGAGCAAGCATAAGTCCAAAAATCATAACCAGACAAAAGCAGGGATGGAAGAGGAGGATCCTTCCACGTTCTAGCCCAACTTCTGAGTAGTTAAGGCACTTTGACCATGAGGTTCTAGTCCTCCTTCAGTTAGATGGGTTTAATCCTACATCTGCTGCTCTCCAGCTCAATACACAAACCATCAGGCCATAAATTAGATATTATCTTGGCCCCTCTTCAGTCCTCCTTTTAAAGCTGATCACCATGGAAGCCAAAAAAGGGAGATATTTGTACAACCACAGTTTTATACTTGTAGCCATTTTACTTGTGTCAGTAATTTAATTATAATCTATTAACAGTATCACAGCTGAGTAGTAACAGTTGTCCTAAGCCCCTGTAGATGTGAATAAGTAAAAGGGTGTGAAGGAAAGAAAACTGCCATTTCCATACTTTATAACATTTATGCACTGCATTTTATGGAGACTTATGTTTTACACATTGGATATTCTAGTGCAAACTGCAGGATTGAAGAATGAGATAGCTTTTCGTATGAATTCATGTAGGAACAAGAACAACTTGAAAAAGAAAGAGTGAAAACATAGAAATCCTGATTGTCTGTCATTTTTTCTCACTCAGGCGGACTTCCATATCTGGAAACTGGAAGACAAATACTGGCTCTGCAATGTTGGAACAAATTGCTATGTCAGATAAGTAAGTACAGCTTCATATAGGAGTTAATTAGAAGCTTAATTAAGTTCCTTTTTAACTTAATTAAAAACCACATTTCTGATTCTGGTGCTACTACTACTAAATGAAGGTCCTACTAATTTCTTCTGAAAAAATCCATTAAATGACATAAAAGGATATAAGCGTGCCTAGACAAGTCCAAATTTAAATCTAAATCTAAAACTGTACACTTGCCTTGGAATCACCTGGGATTCTCTCAGGA